GTCTTATTGATCTCAAGCGACGCAACTTTCCTTTAGTTGAAACAATGACTTCCCTCCCAAAAAGAGAAGCGACAATGCCGACTGCAGGGCACAACCTGCCTGTATCACATTCCTAACAACAAGCTAGTCAACTTTAGCTGCCCCGTTTACGACTATAGTTGAACTAGAAGGCGTTAAGAATTTGGAAAAATTAGTTTGACCGTCCGTTTCATTTATTTTCTTTCAAACCCGATCCCAGAAATTATTAAAACAGTGTCAGAAAAATGACAAAATTAAAAAATATTCGACGAGGACGATAGCTCATAGGCGAGCTTCCACTGACAGTTGGCGTTAGTCAAGTCAACACGGTCAAGGACCTCGGCAGGCAGCTCGACAGAACGCCATGAAGACTGTGAATAACAATATGAAGATTAGACTAAATAAGAATTATAAATACATGTATATAGATTCTTAAAGTCAAAGTTTATTATAATAATACAAAATCTCTTTTGTGTTGACTTATTTAACTGTTTAATTTATTAATTTTAAAAAGGCAGTGCCAGGGCCCTCTTTGACGGTTTCCAACCCGGAAGTAAACACAAGATCTCGGTGATTTGTTTTTTTTTTATACAATTATTTGATCCCAGTACAGTATCACAAGAAATGGATCGCTTTTCGTGGACAAACGGTCTTTTAGAAATAAACGAGACTTTAGTAATACAACAAACCGGCGTCAGATTATATGATGGTGACGACAAGGTACATCTTTTTTCTTTCCTATCCATAGACAAACGTCAAATGTGGTGTATTGTCATGAAGTTTCTTTATTGCACTAATATAGGCTAAACTTGATGTTGGAATTGCGTTGCTGAGCACCCATCGCTTGATTTGGAGGGACAGTAAAAATCATGTAAGGCGCAGAAACATTGTCTTTGAATAAATTGTGTGTACGCTAAATAACGTAAACGTAACATGACCTGCATAAATTTTGATGTTGACTCACGGTGACTTGTGAATGTTATTTTTCACAGGACTGCTGCATTTCCATGCCATTGTCACAAATAATATTTTTTGAGGAGCAGGCTGCAGGAATAGGGAAGAGGTGAGTAGTGGAAGTGGAATTGCTGTTAAATAACATTGCGTGTATTACGTGTAAACTCATGTTTTGTTCACAGCTGTTAGTTGTATGTTCTGTTCTCATCTGTTGCAGTGCAAAAATTGTTATACACCTGCATCCGGCATCTGCCAACAAGGAGCAAGGTCCTTACCAAAACAGCAAATTTTCCTTCATCAAACTCTCTTTCAAAGAACATGGACAGATTGAGGTAAAGTCAATCCGACACCAGGCTGTCGCTTTAAAGTGGCTCTGGATAGTCACCTAGACTAGCATTTACACTTGATGAGTCGGCAAGCACTTTGGAGGTCCAACAATTGGTGTACTAGCACTAAAAAAGAAGGTTTTCCATAATAAGTTCCCTTTATGGTGCTTTTTTTTTATATCTTCAGTTTTTCAGGAGGCTTAATGAGGAGATGATTCATAAGAGATGGGAGAGCACACCTGCTTCCCAACCCATCCCAACAGGAGTGGGCTCACAGGTTTGCACACTCATTTCTGCTTTGGAGTTTTAGGTGGAGGAGTGAAACGGCAACTTAGAATGTGATGAATACGTCCCACAGGAGGGCAGTGTTGCCTCCATTTCAGATGCAGAATGGTTTCAACAAATGTTGAAACCAGCCATGTGTCACACATGTACCTACTAGGTTAAAATAAAAATTGCACGTGGTCATCACTGATCACAAAGTCTTTGCTTAACACCCTAAGCTCATGCAAGAAGTATTTAACAGTCTGGGACTATCGCCATAAAATATATATATACACATGTTTAGCTAGCCGCTGATTACAATTTGTTCCCTGTGCTCGTTTCCTTTACTCTGAAAATGTTCAATTTTTTTTCCCCTTTCCTTTCCAATTGTGGTCTTGCAGGCAGGAAGGACACGCGCAGTCGGGATTGTTGGCATTGAGCGTAAGATAGAGGAGAGGAGGAAAGAAACGGACAAAAACATCTCTGAGGTATTTCAAAATAAGTTGGCGGACGATGTTAAACTGCAATCTTGTGGCCAAAGTAAAAAAAAAGAAACATAGCTTCCAATTAATTGGAATGTTCTTGGAATATAAACATTTCATTGAATTGTGGCAATTTTGTGATTGCTATACATTCATTGTATTTACTTTTTAGGCCTTTGAGGATCTCAGTAAGCTTATGGTGAAGGTAAAGAACACTTTATGTGCATCTGTAGTCGCTTCTTATTTTGATGATATAAACAATTTGTTTTATTTTCTGACTGCTTACTCTTTGTTTCATGCACCGCAATTCTGTATTGCTGCTCATTTAGTGAACATGACCAATTACGTGTCCTCTCGATCAAACAGGCCAAAGAGATGGTCGAGCTTTCCAAATCTATAGCCAACAAGATCAAAGACAAGCAAGGGGACATAACAGAGGATGAGGTGATCACTGGAGCTAATCAAGTCGGATGCTTGCACATAGGACACACCCATGATAATATGTTGTCAATTTCTTCTTTCAAGACCATCCGCTTTAAGTCCTACCTGTTAAGCATGGGTATCGCTAACCCCGTCACCAGGGAAACGCATGGCTCAGGCACACATTACCACATGCAGCTGGCTAAACAACTGGGAGATATGCTCCAGGCCCCACTCGAGGTAAGCATTGAATACCACTTAGGCCGCAATCTTCAATCCGGAACTCAAGTTTATCACACAACCCTTTCCTCCATTTGCTACGTTGTCAGGAACGCGGAGGCATGATGGCGCTGTCCGAGGTGTACTGTCTGGTCAACCGGGCTCGAGGCATGGAGGTAATCCCTAGCATCTTACACAACCAAAGCCGAATGGATTTTGCTTCGAGCATAAAGAATCAAAGAGAGATTGTTTTATCCTCTTTTTTGGCAGCTTTTATCCCCTGAAGATTTGTTAAATGCGTGCAAGATGTTTGAATCCTTGAAGCTCCCACTGAGGTGAGGTTTTTTTTTTTTTTTTTTAAGATTTCCCACCACACTTCCCACGTAAACTCGAAAATATAATACATAACCGTCACCACTGTCCTCTGTTTGAATTGGAATGAGAGAAGCTTGCTGTTGTGTCATGTGCATTTGTTAATATTAAAGCCAAGAAGCTACTGACTGGATGTCAATTCGATACAAAGACAGCAGGAGGAGCAGAGAGAGGATTGTGTATTCATATTAAAATCTCAAAAGTCAAAGTGTTTGGTACATTGTGCTTTACATTTCATATACAAGTCCAGAAAATGAGACCACGGGTCCTCTTTTGGGTTTTTTTTTTTTTTAGCCGGGAGCTCAACAAACTTAAACTTCTGCTTGCCACCGGTTGACCTCCACAGAAGACCCAGCCAGGCTTTTCCTGTCAGGCTTCCTGTTTTTTTGACAGTGTGCACCACTTCCTGTCACTTCCTGGGATTTTAAACCAAACTAGACCTATCAGTCTCACATACTGCTCATTCACTTTAATAGCAAAAGTTGAAAGCAAAAGAAAAAAGGAGTAACAAAAGATTCCAAACTCCTTGAAACATGATATACAATTTTGCCTTGGGTGCAGGCTGCGTGTATTTGATAGTGGCGTGATGGTGGTCCAGCTGCAGTCTCACAGCGAAGAGGAAATGATTGCCTCAGCGCTGGACAATGTGAGCTCCTGTCCCAAACGCTGCTTTTGAACATCACGTTTTATGTTATTTTCTTCCTCAGATACACCCCACTTTCTTGTCTCTCTTTTTAGGTGACAGACAAAGGGTCCTTAACAGCTGAAGAGTTTGCTAAACTGTTGGGTCTCTCTGTACTTCTGTCTAAGGAGCGGTAAGTGTTTAATGGGCAACTGAGTGGAACCCGCCTCACAACAGTATACAGTATTTTGTCAGTTGTTATCAGAGGCAGAATGGTAACAACATGACCCTGTAAAAATTTTCAACTCAACTTTCATTGTTTTCTCTGAGGATGTTGAATTATGCTTTTGTGGTTCACTCTTCGCCTTCATATTTGCAGATTGCTCCTGGCTGAGAAGATGGGCCACCTTTGTCGAGATGACTCCGTTGAGGGTTTGAGGTTCTACCCAAACCTCTTTTGAGGTTTTGCATCCATCCTGGATTAACTTCATATCATGTTCAGAACTATTTTTGCTTGTGCACCCGTTCTTGTCAAACCAAAGTGTGCACATTTGAGCTTGCTACAGAATGGTGATACTTACTCTCACTGTGTCAGAAAGTAATGATTATGAATGAATGAATGTGTATGAAATCCTGTTGTAAATAAATGCCACCAGGGCTATTTTTATGATTGGCGTATTTGTATTGCTTTGGGTCACTTTCATTGTAAGCGAAACTAACTTTTCTTCCGAAATGGTTCTCCAGAGGTAAATCAAAGCATGCCGGGCCACACCGATTAGATTAGCCTGCCACGTGGTTCAAGTGGCTCATTTGGGAGCGGAAATGAGGAAGGACAAGTTAACCGAATGCAGTCTAAATGCACAATGTAGCTATTGGGTGAAGTTATCGATTGATCCCCTCAAATGGAATATTTGAGCTAGCAAAGGATGAAGAGTTATATGAATAAATTAATGTATGAACATTTTGTCTTACTGTCAAGAGGTACTTGCTTCAGTTTATTAATTTTATTTATTTATTTTAATGAACACTTTGACCCTCTGCACTACTGTATTTTAATGTTGGTCATGACCGTGGTCCTGTATTTTACAGTATTTTAGAGGCTATTCCAACATGGAGTAAAACGTTTGAGAAATCCCTGAGCAAAATTCACCAAAATGAAACGATTCATAATTACAGCATTTTGAGTACTTGATGTAGTTTTCTTAAAAAAAAGGGAAAAAACAGGCTAATAATTTAGGAATTTGTCAATATGTTCAGTGATGCAATAATAAACGAGCATTAAAAACAAACAATAAGAAAGTAAAACAATGGTGAGCACGTGAGCTCTGCTTGGCTGCCACTCGCACAACAGCAGCACACGACAACTGTGGACTTCTGCCCACGCTGAAATAAATGCGCGGTGTTGTCATCAGTCTCCAAAAATTGGAGCGAAAACACGGAAAAAAAACGGACTAATGTTGCCGAAATGAGCCTGGACGCGTGAGTACAGAATTTAAATGTACATGTTGTTATGTTTACGTGGACGACCGTCGTTTCGCGCGTTTCTTGAGGATTTATTTACACCAAGACGGTATTATTAACAACAAAAAGACAACTAATAACTAATAATAATTTGGCTTCGAATACGTTTCATGGAGAGTGCTCATTCTGGCCAAACTTCTATGAATTCCCTTTGTGTTACTGTACTTGAATGTACGGCGTACCAAAGTTGCGCTGTAGTTTTCAATTGGAGCAAAATTCGTCCATAAATGTACAGTAATATACATTTGCAAAAAAAAAAGTGCCGTCATTTACAAACGTGCATGATTTTTTTCCTTGTGGTGTTGGTAAACAAAATAGCATGTGGTTTTATTGTAAAAAAAAAAAAAAAAAAAACATAAAAAGACAATAGGGAACCGCAGAACAAGTTTGAACAAAAATAATCGGTCAGTTGACAATTCCAAAATGCAAACATTTGCCCTCTTATGTGGCACGAGTTGAACATGTACTTTTTGGTATGTTTAATCCTAATCAAATTCAACATATGGACCGTTATAAATTACTATATCTACCTATGTATTAAATTACAATGTGTCTATCTGTCTATGTATCTATCCTTCAAGTTAGTGCCATGGAGGTGTTTCCTTTTGACTTTTTAAGTTTCTTTTGTCATGGAGGAGGAGGAAAATTCCACAATGATGTTTGCTTCCTTCCTGTTACTCAGGCTACATGTACATGTATCCTGATATCCACGAGCAATTTTGTCCTGCAGTTTTTGGTGACGTTTGCTTGTTTTGTGTTTTGTGTACCCAGCAATGTTCGAAGAAGGTGGCAATCAGGTTTAGGGTGAAAAACGAGACATCGGAATGCCACAAGCGTCCTCGCTGCTCTCTCTCTTGCTTGGGCTCATGGGATATGGTATGTGTGACCAAACTGACTCCATCACTGTGGTACCCGCACAAGTACGGGTATGCGGGATTCCTCCAGTGAATCACTGAAGTAAATGTTCAAATTGAGTGTTATATTACTGGAGCTACAAAAGTGGTGTACATTTTACTGTACATTTTAACACCCATTATTGGCGGTTTTAAAGGAATGTACTTTGTACTAATAAGTAAAGGAATACACTTGGTATGTGAGAATCAAGTTGTAGTTTTAGACACACATTCATTAGGGCAATATCATAAAATATGAATCTAAGACTGACATGAACTGTGCAGTGCACTGCATCATGCTCAGAGGTGTTCCTAATATTTTGCCGCTCTCATGTATCATTTTGTTGACCAAACTATCAGTAGCACCTCTCATGGACTTGCCATTTTTGTCCTCCCCGGTCAAAGCTTTGGCAGGGCTCAACATCTGGCCCTCCTTCCACGTTGCCCTTAGCAACGCCAGTGTCTTCGTGGACTTCAGCACAAAAATCAACAACAGCCTCATCCGCCATCTTAGCCTCTCTCTGATTGACATGGACATTAACGCCACCCTCCTGACCAGGACTCTGCCCAGCAACCAGTCTGCCGGTAGGGTGGAGTTCGGCTGCTCCTGTTTCCTGTATGCAGGAACTTTCCGCTTCCTCCTGAAGCAGCGCAGCACCACTGAGGAGTCGCACTCAAATGGGACAGGGGGTTCGGAGAGTACAGTGTGGTGGTGGAGTTCAGAACTGCAGGTGCAATGGCCCACATTTCACATTGCGGTCGAGAGGGTTGGAAACCACTCGGGAGCTTTTCAGGCAAGTACAATTTCAATGCAGCGAATATTCATCACTTATTTAATTTATCCAGCCATTCTCTGTACTGCTTATTCTCACTAGTTTTGCTAGCGACAAGGAGTTATAACCCTTTAAAGTTGATGTATGTCATCTTGAAGCTGCTAATAAGTTTTTAAATGTAGCCTCACTTTACTCCTCCCTCGCATCTGTGCCCAAAGAAACGCCTCAGTTGCTAGCATGACTTGTTCATTATGGAGTATTCCCAAAAACGAAATGTTACCGGTTTGATGTTGTATTTTTTTTGGAATGTACAATCAATTAAAACATAAGCGAGGCGGTCTATTTACCTATTGCTAAAGGGTCAGCAGTATTTTGAGTAATGAGTGTGGCCACGTCACCATTCTACCCTTTTGCACATTTTTTGTGACAAATGGCTTCACAATCAAGTTAGGGCCACCCCGGAGATAAATTCCATTTCTCTTCCTCTCTCCAGCTCGGAATATCCACCAATGAGCACTTCCAGCCTTGCTCTAGCATCCTCGAACCTGCTCTGCTACTAGAAGTCAGCTACGTGGAGTACAACCAGATTGGACGAAAAGGCATCAACAAAGTGCAAGCCCGCACGCAACACCCGATCCAACCTCTCCGTTCGCAGATGATCACGCTTCCCTGTGCCTTCCCTTTCACGGATAGAGACTTCATACAAGTGTCCCTCCGCTCTCCTCACTCAGCACAGGAGGTCAAAAGCTCCAGTCCTCTCTACCTGTCTCACATCTTCTCCTACAAGCTGCTAGTGGAAAACGCCATTACCTATAGGAGTGGATGTGACGGGACTGTGACCGTGAAGCTAGTCACGCCACCTTGCGCTCACATCGATGGGAAAGTACTCTTGTATAAGGACGGCGTTGTCGGAAGTGGTGTCACCGTCTCCTCTGGGACGGGAGCAGGAGGAACAGCAGTTATGAGCTTCGGGCAAGAGGAGCCGTCCTCTCCTCCGTTGGCTTTTAATTGGCTCACTCAGGGAGAGAACGAGACGGAATTCAACTGCTCAGTTTTTGTCCTGGGAAGGAATAAGTACTGCTTCCGATTTGTGTTTAACTACAGCCGCTCGCCGAGCCCGGCCCAGACCTGCCTGGTGGTGCACAGGAGCGAAGGTGAGCGGCGTGCCAACTACATGACTTTATTGTCAAGATTTTGTTCAGCGTGTTCTCATGGATGACTGAAAGTGCCATTAAATAGAGACTTCAATGTGTATTATAATTTAAATTAATTGAATTGGAAATATAATTATATGTATACGTACAAAGATACAGACGATTGAATAATTACGGTAATATGAATCAATCAAAATTGAGATTAAATGCATATGAGTCCATTTCTTAAATACACTTTTTTTTTCAAACCACATATAAATATTTCATATTGTATTCCGTATATTTTGGTTATCCTCCTTGTTCAGATTCTTGGGGGCCTTGGAAACAGTGGAGTGTGTGCAGCGTGAGCTGTGGCGAGGGCGTCAGGGAACGTGTGCGGGAGTGTTTATTGCCCTCTGGTGTCCAAGGGAAGCAATGCACTGGAATGGTGAAGGAACAGTCCTTCTGTTCCTTGGAAGACTGTGCAGGTCAGTCACTTATCCTGGTGTATTGCCCTGTCTTGATAAGCTCAACAATGCTGCCCAACATGTAAAGCATGTCTGTCATCTGTCTGTTCTCATAATCAAAGGTGATCCTTGATCCACAAGTTTGTCCATTTCTTGTCCCCCCCGACTCCAGCGTTTCCAGCTCCTTCTCCATCTCTTCCTCCCACCCTAGCTGGAGTTGACCTCTTAGGTGGCAACATGGTGGTGATTGCCGGCATCTCCGTTTGCCTTGCCGTCATTCTGGCCACTGTCGTCATTACCGTGTGGAGGAAGCTCTGCCACACCCCTCAGTGCAGTAGCGTCCGCAGAGGCTCTATGCATTCCCCTGGTGGTCGGAAACTCTCCGACGAGGCCTCCATTTGCGGCAACAGCCTTCCGAGGCCGAGTCTGGTGGGCGTTAGTTCGACCCAGATCCACAGGCCTTCCCTGGGCAATCCACCTGTTCCTCAGACAATGGTGATGCCTCTCTCACAGGATCCGGAGAGGCTGTCTCCCACTGGTCAGAAGGTCCTGCCTCCCATCTTTGGGTACGTATTTAAATAAAGTTTAAAAATACACTTTTGAAGCTGGTGGGTCAAAAGTAACCTAGGGTGAAACAGCTCACCCAGTGCAGGGTTCAAAAGGGATCAAGCCTCCCTAAATCCAATCTTCAACCTAATCTGCTGGGTCAAAATAATTAACCCAACATTGGGTAAAAGTATGTCAATCTACTCAAAATCCACAGCGACCCAGCGACTTGGAAAAAGTTCATTCAAAGTCCGAGCTCGGCACTCGACTTACTCGTGTACCAAATCACTTTTTTGGGGGTTTTGCTGACAATACACAAGAAACTGTTATTTCAGTGTACAGTACAATGCCTTATGTCTCCCCCAGGTACCGCTTAGCTCAGCAGCAGTTAAAAGAAATGAAGAAGAAGGGCTTAACGGAGGCCACACAGTTCTACCACGTCTCCTCAAGCCCAGTTCAGGATACTTCGGAGGAGACTTCAGCGACCAATCCCCACATTCCCTCACCCATTGCGTCCTCCTTTTCTGAGCCGGCGTCGCAAGCCTCCAGGATCACGCCGGACCAGCTGAGTCCCAGAGTGGACCTTGTCTTGGGTCCCCAAGTATCTGGTCATACAAGTGGAGGCAGCACCAAGTGGCGAGACCGCACTGCCGATTGGGTGGAGATGGTGGAGAGGAGCGGCATGGGAGGTCTCTCAGCACGACCGATGAGAAACGCATATCATAAGAATCCAAATTTCCGCAGGACCTCCAGTTTTACGGAGGCGAAACCTCAGCTTTTGTCTGCAGGACACTACCGTGACAGGAGCATGACTCAGGTAAGAGCCCCAGATTTAGTCATGTCATTCAACCGACCATAATAATCATCGGTTTGTTGTTTTTGTATGCAGGCACAAAGTAATAAAAGTAATACTTTGCCCCCATTTTGGTGCCAAAGAACTATGTTGAAATGAGTTGAGGAGTTTCATTTCGGCAAAAATAAGCGTCTTGGTAATTATAGACCTTTCTGGGTGTGTGTCAAATACACACTTTTTTCAGCAGGGTTGAGTGTCACACAATGAAATATTTCTCATTAAAAATATGTGCCTTGACTCACTGAAGGTTGGGAAACACTATTTTTTTTCCTGTTCAGGTAGGATCTCGGACCCTTCCCGAAGGAAACTCATGGACCAAAGAAAGAAGAGAGAGGTCCCCATTTAGCACCCACCCTATTCCAGAGCATGATGTCCCAAAGTGGGCCCATTCGAGAGCTGAGAGGAATCCCTCGATGCAAAATGCCATTCTTTCACAAATGAAAAACACGGGAACAAGCACCTCACCGAAACATGTGGACCACTGTGGTGCTGAGGAGAGACAGGCAAGGCGCGAGGCGGGAAGCAGAGCACACGAAGGAATCTCAGGGATCGGTGGCCCACTCACGAGTCCTGACTGTGAGTACGGAGCAAACCTGAGTGTGGAACGGGCCGAACAGAACTGGAACCGCCGCGGTCCATCGCCTATCCAGAGGAACATGCTGGCGCGGAAACTAAAGGAGGCGCAGTCCTGCTCCAGCGTCAGAGGACGTCAGCGCAGCTCCACCTTCAGCGTGTCGTCATCTGAAAACAGGAAAGAATATGGCCGCCCGCGTCCTGGTTCTGGATGCTACGTCGCCACTGAAACTTCTGTGTACACCTTGAGGGAGGCGGAGCAACGGATTCTGGACCTTCCACCAGAATATGCAGAAGACGAGAATTAGATCACAAATAAGTATGATCTCCTCTAACTGTGATTATCTTTTCTCAGGAGAATTTAACAGGATTTTCAAAGTATTCATTTTATCGTTCACACCCCTGTTATATTGTAGATTTTTAAGTAATCGTATTTTTATCGTGAACCTTCACATATTTATTTTGGCAATCACAAATTCACCTGTTCATCTTTTATTGTCTTCTATTGTCCATATTTACTGGCTAACCTATGAGTTTCCTCTTTATATGCTAACCACAGTTTTTAAAGAAATCTTTGCACTGTTGTCAAGAAAATTACACATTATTCTTACACACAAATCCCGTGATAAAAATGGATGACATGCAATTTGACTTTATTATGAGTTGCATCACATACATTGCTGGTATCGATTGCTTATTTGTAATGATAAAAGAAGATATTGTTCTCCGATATTTTACTGTCAAAGACCAATAAAACTGTAGTCTGTCTCTAATTTTTATGCCGTACGGCTGGTGTGTTTAGCCTTCCCCGCCACCGCTGCCCATGGCGTCCAAGAAAAGCAGAGGGCGCACCTTCATGGTGGTGTGTCTGAGGGAGTACCAAAGGCCCCGCCATGTGCCCCACACGACCCCATTATCAAACTGGCCCTTGTATTCCCCTTTGCGGTAAAACTTCCCATTCAGGTTGGCAACATGGCACCTGTTGAGAGAAAGGAAAAAATAACTGCCAACGGCATTTTCCATCAAACGTAAATCACATTTTCAAAACAACCAAGTGCTTGATCACAAAGCAATGCAGAATTCAAATATTAGCAGCCGCACTTCCTCAAGGAGTGCCACGATAGCAACACGAGAAAGTTCCATCAGTCTCACCTGTTGTACCACCACCCTCCGTTGTTCTCCTGGGCACAGCTGCCTTGAATGTAGCGATCATTGTCCTGTCCGTGAACAATACAAACACATCATTATCAACTCATACTATTCAAACAATACTTAACAGAAGCAGGAGCGGTGGCCTACTAACCTGATCCCTAGTGCTAAACTGCATGCCATTGAGGCCCGCGGACCACTGCTCCACCATGCCGTTGCCACCTGCCAGAGCATCCCCAGCTTTCCCGCTGTACAGCCCGTACTGTAGCCGGTAGTGATCCTATTCATACATCAAGACTTTAATGTCACAAGAAAAGATTACAGTTACTCTATATATGAAAAAGAGTCGACTTGTGTGACATACGGCTTCATTAGAGATCTGGAAATTCTCGTAGTACGCGTGACTTCTCTGCCCCGCCCAGTCCATTAGGTCGATCTTTACCAGATTCTTACCTTGCGATGCAAATAAGCAAAAAATAAAAATAAAAATCATTTGGCTTACATGCTTTTTGATTGAGCTGCTGAAATAATGTTTTTTTTTTTTACTATTCGAAATTATTGTGATACATGTACTGTATATAAAGTATCCATCTCTCTCTCTCTCTCTCTCTCTCTCTCTCTCTCTCTCTCTCTCTCTCTCTCTCTCTAGCTCTCTCTCTCTCTCTCTCTCTATTCTGTTATTGCTCACCGTCCGAAAGCAGGGAGTAGATGTGCTCATTTCCTAACCAGAACTCATCATTCCATTTCTTGAAGTCACCGAAGCCATCTCTGTAATCCACCCAGTCTCTACGAACAGACACACATATGACATGAACAAAATGATTTCATAAAATCTTCATGAATGTAACACCTGTCAAAGTCAACTTTTCCATTCCGCCTTTTTTGGAACACCGTCCATCCTCCTCCGTCGTCCATGTCGCAGTAGACCAAAATTGGCTCGAGGTGGATTTTGGGTCTGATGCGGTAAAACCCGCTGGTCGGTCTTTTCCTGTCAAACAGCTCAGAACAGTCTAAAATCATAACAAAAGCTAATTATTACAAATATCTGGCAGGTGGTAGCCGAGATAAAGCGAAAGACATGTCAGGATGACTGCTGGGTGAAAAGTGTGGGTTCAAATGGGACCAAGCCAATTGATTCGCAGTGCACTGGGTTGAGGATTTGACCCAACACATTTGCATAGTTTATAATATTGTAGGTGTATGAATGAACAAAAATCAATATTATTGGCAGAATCAGACATCGTGTGAATGCTTTGTACCTCGGTCGTGGACAATCAGGTTTCCTGCTGGTGGAAGAGGCTTCATCAGGGTCGTATTGGAGTTTTCCAACGTCCCATTGTCGTTGTTGGAGCCTGACGGAGTCCGAGGAGGTGAAATCAGGCGGAAGAATTTGTGCTTCTGCAAGTGGTCCACCTGCCAAGCTCGGATAAGGAGTTTGTTTTCTAGTCTCTTTATGCTCCTCTTGAGAGCTACAACATCTGGGCTGCATCCCTTTTGTTGCAGAGACACACACACACACACACACACACACATGGACAAAAAACAGAATGATTGAAAATCCATCTAGCGATCAAAAGGATAAAATACATTACTCACTGAAAACGGGTTGGATGATGAAGTCTTGATTGGGAAAACCAGGAGAAAAAACATCAACACTAGGAAGGAAACCCAGCAAGTCTAAAAAATTGAAAACATTGCACTTATCCACCAAAACATTATTTTATTGATATGACTTGATAAAAACAGCACCTACCTTCATTTCGCAGTGTTTCTTTTGCTGCCTCAAGGCTCCGTGCTCTGCTGTCAGTACTTATTTCAAGATGGGCTGGGTTGGTTCTGCATGGTCCACATTAGAGGAAAGACATTGCCAAAGTCCAAACCCAAGTTTCTCTTTTTTTTTCCACCTCTATCAAGCATTCCAGCTTCCGGGAAGAGTAGCTGATGTCATTCCTAATTCCAGGAATACTTTTTCATCCATGACATTTGTCTATATATCAGTCATTCCATATATTTTTGTGTCAAAAGAACCAGAGACAGAACTTCAGACCACACTCAAATTAATGGACAGTTTAGAGTTTGCCAATAACTACAGTTGAATAATGAATAAATAAATAACCAACCTATCAACTGGGCAAACCTGGCAATACATTAAAAAAATGAATAAACCTAAAGGAAAATTTAAAAAAATCTGTCAAGCAATAAATGAATAAAAGCTCAATAAATACACCTGCCTACAGGTAAAATAAATTAATTAACAAAAATAATATTTATTAATTTGTGTAAAATTAATGAATAAAACAGGAAAAAGCGTAATTGATTAATTGAATAATCGGATGACTTATCAATAAATTGATTAATTGTTGCACCTCTAATTTATTTGTTTAAAAAATTAATAAACAATACCAGTTCAGTAAACCAAACTAAAAATGGGAAAAAAACAATCTATGAACTAAAAAAAAAAAAAAAAAAAGAGTAAGCACATGCACACATCACCAGCAAACAAACACACCTGCCAATGACTACACAAAACCAAAAAAAATAAAAATTCTCCTGATAATTTACGAATACGAATAACGTGTCATTTTGTTCCAAAACATCATTTGCTCCACGTTCAAAACAATCTCCTCTTTTGATTTACGCAGTAATGAAAACCAGATGTGGCAAAGAGGAGGAGGAGGAGGAGGAGGTGGCTTAACTTTTGCAACATCTCGAGATGAGGAGGGGGGGAAGAAAAAAAAATATCCAGGAAGTCCCAAATACGCAAAAACCGCTACGTTAGCACAAAAAAAAAAAGGGAGGCGTGAACGAGTAGAACACAAAGCATCCGTTTAACCTTTGAACCGTCTTCCTTTCACTCCACGACGAGTCACAAGACCGATTCCCGGTGATTCTCTCGAATGTCAATGCCAACGGTAAGCAAGGAGAGACACTCGAGCGTTCCAAGGAAAGCAACAAGAGGGATTTGCACTCGCGTCTTGCTTGGTTCGTGCGTCTTCTCCTTCCCGCTAATTAACCTCATTAACCACCTCGTTGTGCTCCTTTCCACGCGCGCAATTTGGCGCGTGGTTTTTCTGCATCCAAACGCTGCACGTTTGTTTGTAAATCTCTCTCTCTGCACGCTGCTCTTGGCATCATCTAGAAACTTCGGGTTCACAGTAACACAACTTTCTTAAAGTCATGACCACGGTCCACTTCAACCCGGGTTCGGATTCAGGTGTCAATGGGTGAGGAATTAAAACACACACACACACACACACGCACACACACACACACACACACACACACACACACACGCAAAACACATGACTTCCTTCGAGGAAAGATTAACCTTGTGCATGTGTGTTTTTACTGCATGGTTTGATCCGTTTAATGTGTCACTTATTTATTTTTTTTTTTTCAACAAATATGTGTGGATTTTTTTCCAGAAGTGTGGCAAGGATGGATGATGCCAAAGTGGAGATTGACAACGGGCAGGCTGACGCTATGGAACCAGACACTATGTACCAGTGAGTAAATTGCATTTGGGATTATTGGATTATGTTACATGGTAGGAGTGGTTAGAAGGTCTGCCTCGCAGTTCTGGGGTCCTGGGTTTGAATCTGTTCTGGCCTTCCTGTGTGAAATCTGATCCCCCGCCTCACCGTCAACCAAATTCACAGATCAATTTTGGAGGCTGCGCTGTAGTATTTTTTTAAAATCTGAATTCAATCATATCTTGTTGACTGCTGCTCCAAGTCACGGTTAATATGGACTAAAATCAAACTAAACCGTCTTGCATCTTATTTTCCAGCAATATCCGGAAGAAAATTGCCCCCTTTGTTATGTCCTTTGGATTCCGGTCAGTATCTTTCTGAATTTTCGAAGCAATACCGTCTTATATTGGAGACTAACATCTCATATTATCGCCACTCAGTGTTTTTGGAGTGGTACTGATCCTCGTTGACATCGTGCTGGTCATCGTGGACATTTCTCTGCCAGCCAGGAGCAGAGAAGTGGGAAATACTCTTGAGACCGTGTCCCTGATTATCTCCTTCTTCTTCCTGGCCGATGTTCTTCTCAGGATCTACGTGGAAGGGTAGGCACGACGTGCAAACTGCTCGCAGAAAATACAACGTGTGCTCCGATTGGCTTGTTAAAGAGGAAGTCATGAAAGGAGGAAGTGAATGAAATGAAAAAGCCCAGCAGGGAAAGGACTTCCGGGATGTTTTGAAACGGCCACGTTGACATGTGACATTATCATGCCACATTTATTTATTTATGTATTTATTTTTTGCGTGTTTGTTAAAGATTCAAAGTTTACTTTGGCTCCAAGCTGAACATCATTGACGCCTGTGTCGTGGTGGTCACATTGGTGGTCACCATGAGCTACACCTTCACTGACCTGTCGGGAGCCAGCCTCATTCCAAGGTACTCGCAAAGTAGGCTGGATGCTTCATATGATCATCATTAAAATGCAATCAAAACTTAAAATGAGTCTCGAGTTCAATAATTGGATGCCAAATCTTCATTGGGTGTACCTAATGAAGTGTCTGATGAGGGATTCTTTTTATCATTCTCACAATGGAATTACATTCCGAAAAAATTAAGTGCCTGCGCATTAAAATGGAAAACAGTGCTCAAGAGATCGTTACAATCTGTGCAGTAACTCTTTCGGGTGTTTTCTTCATCACTTCGTTTTCATTGTCGCTTCCTCCACAGGGTGGTTTCCTTTCTGCGTTTCTTGAGAATTATCATCCTGGTGAGGCTGTTCAGGCTAGCGGCTCAAAAGAAAGAGCTGGAAAAGGTCACAAGGAGGATGGTAAGAGTGCCCCGTTGCTGTGTACGCAAACTCAATCGAAGGGAGACGTTAGCTTCCCGTCCGTTCTTCTCAGGTGTCCGAGAACAAGCGGCGCTACCAGAAGGACGGCTTTGACTTGGACCTCACCTATGTCACAGGTAGGAACCCCATCGAGTGACTGTAGCCTGTTGAAATCACCATTTTTATCTTCTTGTCCAGATCGGGTCATCGCCATGTCTTTCCCTTCATCTGGGAAGCAGTCGTTCTACAGGAACCCAATCAAGGTACGTGCAATTATTGCCATTTTGAATGCCCCAAAAAATTCGAAAAATAATCAACAAAATCAACCAAATTTTGGCCACTCGTATGTTAGGCTACAAACCTCAATGGTGCAGTAGTGATAGCTGTGTTGACCAATTGGTTGACCCCCCCCCCCCAGAAAAAAGCTGCGTGTTTTCAGAAAGACAAAACAAGATGTGGTTGGGGAGAAGCGCCAGTTTCATGACTCAGATGATTACAATCTGTTCACGTGTCTATTTATGACCTCACCTAATGTGAGGTGAGAAATAGGCAAACCCTTTTTTAAGCCGTCCGGTGATTCTTGACCTTTCTTCTTGCATTCGCATTTTTATTACATTTCCCGTCATCAAAGTGCTTGTCCTGTGTGGTTGCTTCTCAGGAGGTGGCTCGCTTCCTTGACACTAAACACGAAGGCCATTACAGAGTTTACAACCTTTGCAGTAAGTCAGCTTCGCAATCATTCAACCGTAAAATTGGTGCAGGTGGAACTATCGACTGTCTTTTGAGAAGCATTGAATCTATGAGGAAAAAAAAAATGTCAGCATTTTTGGCCCATGTTAAGATCTCGGGGACTGTTGCAAACAATGTACAAAAAAAAAATCGGAATCAAATGTAACCGCTACATTATTGTAAAAATTGTTTTTGTTGTTATTTTGGCAGGTGAGAAAGGCTACGACCCCAAGTTTTTCCACTACAGGGTTGAACGGGTTTTTATCGACGACCACAACGTTCCTTCTTTAGAGTGAGTTTCTCCTCTGACCAAATTTGGTCAATTTCACAGTTTTCATATTTCATATTTCTGTTCGTTAGTTTCGAAGTGGTTCTGTCATTTTTACTTTGTGTTGGATATCTGTTTCTGATCTGGGCTTCTTTGGATGAAAATGGCTGCTTCAAATCAAAATGGCGGACATTTTTATTTTTTTGTGTGCATCCTGCCAAGATAGAAATGGCCACCAAATTTTGTGTTTGTTGTTAAAATGGGTGTCGGGGGGAGGGGGGCGGCTACTATTTTCTTTTTTGGACACCTGGATTTTTTTTGGATCACCTAATAATACACATGATATGAATTAATGGTCATGAAAGATGCTTTCCAAATTTACATTAAAAACCACAGAAGAAAACTGTAACATAAAAATCACAAAATTCAGCACCGGTTAAGAAGTATGAGGAAATGACATCAGATCTAATAGGGGATGAGTCCAAATTTCAAATTAATGGGGGTCTGCACTCTACTGAATGATGTTGTACTTTAATATCCTGTGTGTGTGATTCAGGGACATGCTGAAATACACCACGGGTGTGAGGGAGTGGATGTCGGCTGATCCCAAGAACGTCATCGCTATTCACTGCAAAGGAGGGAAAGGTGATTCCTCTTTTTGGCAGGGCTACAATTTCTTATTGGACATGTGCACGAATGCTGATTTTCACCGTTGTATCAGGTCGTACTGGTACTCTAGTTTGCACGTGGCTTATCGACAGCGACCAGTTTGAGAGTGCACAGGTGAGGCGGACTAACAAGAGGTGCAATTTAGGCAAGAGATTCCCCCCATCCCGGCGACGGCTTTTCATTTGATTCCATCTTTGGCCTAATAGGACAGTCTGGAGTATTTTGGGGAGAGGAGGACAGACAAGAGTCGAAGCTCCAAGTTTCAAGGAGTGGAGACGCCCTCTCAGGTTGGATGACGGCCGTCGGGATAAAGCGCCCTACAACTCTGCTCAAGCATTTCTAGTTTAGGAGGGATTTTCATTCTGTTTTGTGGGTGCGTAACTGCAGAGCAGGTATGTGGGCTATTATGAGATCATGAAGACAAAATTCAACAGACAGCTTCCACCTCCAAAGAGCCTCAAGATCAAGAGCATTCGCATCCACTCCATAGCAGGTCCAGCGCAACCTACACACACACACATATATGAACTGCACAATCTCATAATCCAAATGTCAAAGATAATCAGTTTTGATGGAGACTTTTTTTGAGAAGTGTAAATGATGCAGTTGTCCCCTTTCGTCATAAGGTGTGGGCAGAGGTAACGGCAGCGACTTGAAGGTGAAGATAATTGTCAGGAAAGAGCTGGTTTTTCAGTGTGTGTGCGCCACGCAGGAGAACTGCACAGTAAGTCACCGGCTGTCCCAACGGAGGTGGGATCGCTCGCAAGTCGCAGAGAGACTCACCTTGTGGCTGTTTTTGGGTTTTAGGTGTTTCCCGACGTGGGCAGCAATGCAGCGGTCATCAGCCTCCAGAATGGGCCTGAGGTTCAAGGGGACGTCAAGGTCATGTTTGAGTCCACCGCTGTGAGTGTTTTTACATTTTGGAACCACATGTAAACAATGCCGTCACTTTTAGAAAATACATTTAATATTACGGTCACTCTTAGTAGTGGTGTGTGGAGTAACAGTGTCAAGTTTAAATATACAGATACAGTTTATGCTATTCCGATGTCTTATATTTAAAGCTCTCCCATGTTCAATTTCCAAAACCCACAGGGTATCCCTAAAGGATATGAAGATGTTCCCTTCTACTTCTGGTTCAATACTTCCTTCATATCAGATAACAAGTATGAAAGTCCTCACCTCAAATTTGCATATTTCCGATTTATGTCGACTGTAAAAGTATCTCACTGTCATCTGATGGATGTCTCCGCAGGCTGTTTTTACCCAGAGAAGAATTGGACAACCCGCACAAGCCCAAAATGTGGGACTTGTACAAGGAGGACTTCGGCGTCACCATGTTGTTCTTGGATGTCTAGTATTGTTATAATAAATGTTCTTTAGCAAGGTGGGACGACTAAGGAACTTTTTTTTTCTAACACAGAGAATTAACTGCAATAAAACAATGACAGCAAATGTTCGATGCGCAAGTAAGTTTTTGTGTAATGCCCATATCAAGAAAAAAAAAAGTAAAGGCTCATGTTGTGGTCAAAAGGTGAAAATAAATGCAGGTAATGTAACCAATTCATCAAAAATGGATACCTACTTTTGATTTAATTCAAGAGTGCTCCGAAGAAGTGAGGTTAAGTGTTGACATTTGCCACCAGCCAAATATTACATACATCTGCACAAGCTAATAAGAGCAAATGAAATACGAAGCAATTACGGCCCAATTTCCACCTTTGCAATTTCTTTGGCTCGTTCCGTCACAGGCCTGGAGTGTTCTACGCAGCAGTTTGCCCACAATGCCCCCGAGTCACCCCAGTGCTGTTTTCAAGACCGCAACCAAGTGGTCAAAAATAATATTGAATATACTTTGAACAATAAGACAGCCCTTTAATGGTTCCTACATAAGGTTTGAGACAAATAAGTAAATTTTTTTGTAGTGGTTTTACACATGCATTTTACTAGTTGAACTGGGGACATTTTTTTAACTATGCTGTTGTCAAAATTTTATGATATACACTTTTTTAATTGAATTACTGAAAGAAATTTTACAATTATCCACTTTGTGATGCCATTTTGCCCACTTATTGTTGCACCCACATTTTGTGAATATTAAAAAAAAAGAAAAAAGTTCCAAAATCTTTTTAATTGACAATCAAGGACACATTTTATCCACAATTACCCACAAAAATATCCAAAAAGTCAATTAACAAGCTATGTACTGTATGTCTTGGTGCAGATGGATCTTGTGTATGTCAAATACTGTACTGTGTACTTTTGAATTGTGTGAGCATATTTGGATTCGCTACTCATCCTCTAACGTTAAAGTGCAGACAGACAACTTTTGGGATTGATTGTAACCAAACATTATTGCATTTCAAGTCATCAGAAGACATTCTTATCTGGAAACATTGCACTTTGACACCTACTTCAAATTCCACCAAGTTCCTCACCTAACATGGAATTTTTCTCACTTTGACACCATCGATGTAGTTGCACTGTTGCAGCAAGTCATATCTGCCGCTTTGCAAAAAGCACAAGGCGGCAGTTTTGCATGTCTCCTCGCACGGCTCGGAAACGTGCCCCTTGTGTCGAAAGTACCAGAACTTCTGGAAGAGGCGGTCGTCCCCGATGAAGCCCCGTATGAGGCCGTCCAAGTCGGAGGGGAAAATGCTGGACAGCCCGTAGGCCTCTGTGGCACGGTAAAGCAGAGTCCACTTGGGGTGCTCTTGATGTTTGCGGTTCGCCTCGGTCAAGTTGAGAATATAGGTCTCGTGGTCCAGAACCAGCCGAGAGCTGCCGTGGTAGTTCCCGTCTACGTAGTAAACACGGTAACCTGGAAAGTCGATGAATCAATGAGTTCCGTGGGTACACGGTTAAAATAAAAGCCGTGACATGCTTACCTGGGTTTAAATTAATATAGGTGGTCACACTGGGAGAAATAAACGCAACCCCTAGTGGCCGAGTTACAGTCTCCCCGTCGTAAAACATCTGGAATTCATCAAAGTGTGTGTGTCCAAAAAACTGACCTGTAATGGTACTTTCATACCTGGAAAAACAACAATACTTAACTGAGAGTTCTCGCGTCATGGTTGTAATCCGAATTGCTTCGTAGACCAAAACAAGTATGTAGAATAAATCTGATAATTTATCGCAATACAGATTAATGTATTGCTTGTGTTTCTTAAAAAATAAAAATCGTATTACATTGTTCAAAATCGTTAGCTCCACAAGACTAATCTTTTCTTCTCAGGCACGCCAATGTAGCATTTTCATTTTCTAAAATCAACGTACCTGTTGACAATATGATAGTAGTTCCAGCTCCAGCTCCCCAAACACATACTAGGTGGAATATGGCCAATGATATGAACCTGTGCACAGAAAGAAAATTTCAGTCATAAACACAGCGACCAACAACTTTGGCCTCATTAAAAAGCACTTTTGCAACGTATACAATTCCCTACTTCCTGCTCACCTTCTCCCCCTTGTCTTCACTGGCCTGGAGAACGTGGACCAACCACTGCAGCTGGCTGGCCGGGTCTGTGGAGTTCACCATGAGCCAAAAGTTCTCACGAGCGCAAAAGTTCATGTTGAGGGACACCAGCCTGAGGCCTGGATGGATCTCAGTTGTGTAAAATCCCCCGTATCTGCAATCGCACGCCGATTTTTTTATTTTTTTGGGGGGTGGGGGGGTCACAGATAAAGGAAATTTTCTGTCTTTGCTATGTCAATAAGGTATAATAAAGGTAAAGATAAAGCGTGACGAGTCAAATATCCTGCTTACAAGTACGCGTCATATCAACCGTATGGGCTGAGAACTGTACCAATTTTTTTATGTCAGTGTCATTGTTATCCTTTATGTAATTGTGGGCTTTTCGACTAGGTTACTGTAGGGGGGGGGGAGTACGTTTAAATACTAAATAGAAAGGAAAATGGATTTAAGAAAAGTTGAGCCAACTGACATAAATTGTATAAAGCTTTCCAAAGAAGCTAGTATAAAGATGGTGATACCTTTGACAGTATGACAAGCTCCACCCATACCCCGCTTTGCGCATATTCAAATGCGACCCACCTCAGAGACTTCAAAGCCGGCTCCGGCAGCCATTTTGACCATTCGTCCGCCATGGTGTCATAGAGCCAGGC